GGGACAAATAATAATGGTGCTGATTAAACAAAGGCAAGGGTCGATATATATAACCCTTTATCTCACATGGTGGCGAGATTTATGCCTTCGTTTTAGCCTGATTATCCTCCATGCATTTAGGCATTTCTAATTATGATTACCTCGACATTGTGCGTTCATTTTCTTGCTTAACAGTTAAGTTTATTATGTAGTCATTCAATCGGTTTAGAATAGGGTGCATTAATTATGATATAATTAATGATGATAATGAGGCGGGGCAGCTACCTTAATCTATATGCTCCGCCCACGTTATTGTGGGTAGGGGCGGGTAATACTTATGTGGGAAAGGAGCGGGGTGAGTCGACTCACCTTTATATTTTATTTGAAAAAATACACACAAAATTTTACCTTTTATGGTTAAACGAAGGGGAAAACACTTTATAAATGAAAAATAGTGATAATAAAATGAATAATTGAGTCTAACTAGTTGGCAGGTCAAGTCTAATTAGTTGAAGAAAAGCTAAAATAGTAGCAATATGAATAAATAGTGTAAGAAATTGAGATAGAATGAGCCAAGAATGAGACGGTGCGGGGCAAGGCCGACCGCAATTAGATACACATGTCCTGCCCCACGTTACTGCGGGTCGGGTAATACCCACCCCATTGCAGGTCAGGTAATACCTGATGGACCATGTTCAAATTTTCATCCCTATGCATAATCCTTAGTTACGCACACTTGCATAACTAGATCTGATCTGTTAATTTTAGGTGGAGTCGGATCTAAGCGTTGAAAATTTTAAGACAAAACTTTCTAGTTTTCCTAGTTTTTCTAATCAACTTTTCTCTTCGTCATTCTAACTTGGATTTCGAAATTCTATACACAGATAGAGCGGTTTTCTTTTGATCTACAAAATGAAATATATTTTCAATATATTACGAGAAAAAAACTTCATACGCCCCATACCACTCATTACCACCCTAGTATCACCTGATACCACTTGGTACCGCTTTCGTTTGTAATTTCTTTTTTTTGGTAGGAAACAGAGCGCAAAGGGGCGCTCAAACCCTTAAATAGCTATGAAACGCGGGGTTTGGACCCCAAGAGTATCAAAATACAACCAGTAACGCAACTCAGCTCCAGGAAAGTCCACCATGTGGGTTCCTATCGCCAGCGAATGACCCACCGACGCTAAATGATCGGCCACAAAATTAGATTCACGGAACACATGACTCAGGGAGACCTCCCACTCCCGCTCCATAAGCCGGCGGATATAAGCAACTAAAGTGTAATGGGGATGGGCAGTCTCTGCAGAGTGGATGAGCGAGATTGCCGTCGAAGAATCCGTCTGCACTGCTACCTTCCGATATCCACGCTCCCAAGCAAGCTGCAACCCTTGAGCTATCCCTGCAAGCTCGGCATTTGTAATAGAGCCTCCCCCTAGATTAGTCGAGTATGCCACCAGAAAACGCCCCTCGCTGTCCCGGATTACACCGCCTGCCGCCGATCTCCCTTGCGCTAACACCACTGACCCATCCGTATTAAGACCAACCCAGCCTGTAGGGGGGCGCTGCCAGCTGACCCAATGCTGCTCTACACTCCTGCCACCTTCCGCCACACTATTCCTCTTTTCAAACCCCTCCTCGCACTGCTCACTGAAGAGCCTAGCTCGCCGAACTAACTGATCCGGCCATGTCATCCTCTCCTCGAAAACCCACATGTTTCTGTTTTTCCAAATTTGCCAGCAAGTAATCGTAAACGGCATCGGGGAAATGTTCGAGCTCTTACCCGAAATGTAGTGCAAAACCCATTTCGAAACGTCCTCCTGGAAGAATATTCGATCCGGCTCGCCTTCCAACAGCTCCGACCAGATCGCTCGAGCATAAGAGCAGTCCCGAATCGCGTGGATCACAGTTTCCGGGCCTCCCCCACAGACCGGACAACCATTCGACGTCGCTAGATGGCGCCTACACCGCTCTCCATTAGTGAGGAGCTTACCATGCAATAATAACCAGAGAAAGGTACGAGTGCGTTGGGGAGCTTGGAGCTTCCAAATGGCTTTCCATGCAGGTTGGCGGATTTGTTCCTCTTCACTGTCTCTGAGTAGATCATAAGCAGATCGAACCGTGAATTTCCCTGATTCCGAGAACCGCCAAATAGGGACATCCTTCTCAATACCTTGCGGCACCGGGTGAAGCCGTAACTGAAAATTTATTAAGAAATAATTATAAAAGCAGTCCGCAAATAATAAATATAGAATTATACATGGTTATACACCGATAAGTTGTGCACTACATCGACTTCCCAATCAATTTGTAGCCCAAATATTTTGTTGACCTTCAAGTTTAATAGTTGATCTAACGGTGATCAAATGTAGTTTGACTATAATGACATGGCGCCTAAATGTCAGCCACATAATCTAGATCCTTCTGCCTCCACCTGCCGCACACGCACCCTCTCTGCAGGCTCCTCGTCTCCCTCTCTCTTGGCTTCTTTCAACCCGGATTCCTCGTCATACTCTTCAATTCCAATCTAGTGACCAAAACCAAGTGATGGCAAACTGCGAAAGTGATTTCTCCACCTTCCCTCCTCTTAGTCGCCCACCATCACTTCTCTTCTAGAGCCAACGTTTATGACGCCGACGCCACCACCTCTTGGGGCTCCATCCACCTCTTCCTCTCCCCCTAGACCTCCCCAGGCGTCGCCTCCACGCTTCTCTCTTCCTCCAACAACTCGATTTATTGAGATCAACTGGTTATTGACATGGTATCAGAACTCTTCTGTAATCAAGAGATCTTCTGTTCGAGTCCCGATATTCCCATATGTTTCTGTTAAGCACATGGTGTCCGGACTTGTGCAAACTTCAAGCCCATATATGGTGGCTTTCGTTTGAGAGGGTGTGTTAGTAAACGATATATGATATACGATTGAACCTCTCCCAACAACTCGAATTATTGAGATCAACTGGTTCTTGACAGTTGCGAGTGCAACAGACGCAACACCTTTCATTTGCTTTCTAATTACAAAATTTGCTTAAACACGTCATCAGTGGAAGGCAGTATAGAGTTCATCAGAACCCGAGTTCTTGCTAACTGATACGGTGCATTCAAGCCTTGCATAAACTTAATCACAAAATCATTATATCCATACCTCTTCATGGTTTCATATAGTCCATTACAAGGACAATATGAAATAATTCTATACCTCTTGTATCTTCCCATGTACAACACAATGATAGAGGTAAAATATTGATTCACTGATTGTTTTCCCTGCAGCGGCGGATCTAGGGACGCTCCCGGGCCACGAGCCAACCTACTCCGAATTCAGAGCTAGTATAGCACTTGTAGATTTTCGATTTTAGGTATTCGTTTCAGTGTTCGATGGGTTACGGCCCAGTCCTCTCCACCTCTTTTCAAATTTGGCCCAGTGCTCTATCCTATCCTGGATCCGCCACTGTCTCCCTGAATACACTTAAACAACTTCTCTTACAAACTAATAACCCTAATGTTATCCTCCTGGCTGATTATATTTTTCGAATTATCCCAAACAATCTTAGCACTTTCCAACCACATCACACTGTTTGCAATATCATCGGTAAGAAATTCTTAGGAGGAATTCACAATGCTTTAAAGTATTAGTGCTTTAATTTGTTGCCTTTATAGTACAACTAATGAAAGTTGCAATATTTTTTTTTTACATATTCTTTTATATATGGTACACACTGAATTTGTACATTTATGTTATATAGTATAATCTGAAGTTGTACCATAACATAAAGGTGCAAATTCTTTTATGGTACAACCTGAACTTGTACGTTTAACGTTATGGTACAACTTCAAAATGTACGTATTACCAACAGCGGCGGATCTAGGGGGGCCGCCCCCGGGCCGCGGCCCAGCCCTCCCTTGATCCAGAGCTAGTATAGCACGTGTAAATTTTCAATTTTTGGTGTTCGTTTAGGTGTTCGTTTCAGTGTTCGTCGTGTTACGGCCCAGCCTTCTCTGCTTTTTTCCAATATGGCCCAGTGCTCTACCCAATCCTGAATCCGCCGCTGAGTACCAATCTCTTAAAGTATAGTAAAAGTTCACTATTGGTAGATAACAATGAATGGTTCTATTGCCTCTGGTTATGGGATATTGTACCATTCATGAATGGCACCTTAACATAAAACCGGAAATAAAGATGGGAAATGAAAAGTGAGGAGACAACGACGTAGCTAGAATAAGGTGACTGGAGACTGAGCCCGCGTGCCGTCCGGCGCGGAAGAGGCGTCCCCTCTGCAGCTGCTATTTTTTGTCGACCCCCCGGCCGCTCTGATTCCTTTGCAGTTTCCAGTGAATTCTTTTTTTTTTTTTTTTTTTCAGGCGGCAGGGTGTACTCGCCGGAAAACGACGCGAGCTTCGCCTCCACAAACAATAATCCCGGGGGCACTTCCTCGACGCAAGTCGCCGTCAAAGCTGCCCCGCCGCTCCTCGTTCACCGTGCCCATCGTCCCCACCGCCTCTTTAGTGGCGGGTCGGGGTCGAGTCGCAATCACACTACAACAAATATGGCCTTTTGTGACCATTTCCATGCAACTAAATTATTTTTGGTTGGCAAAGGCTTATTTTTTATGACCAATTATATTTTAGTAATGAAAAGTTTGATGAATTGGTCACTAACTAAAAAAAGAGTTCTTATAACCAAATTATAATTTATATGACCAAAAAATTTAGTAATAAAATGTTGAATTTTTTTCCTAACCAAAACTATTTGTTTATTATCCTTAATGCTTTTTAAACTAACCAATATTTTCGGTCACATAAACATGCTAAAATAGTCACTTACAAAGAAAAAAAAATTGTGACCAAATTAAAGTTTACATTACTAAAAATATTGGCAATAAAGCAATAAAATCATTTTCTCACCAAATTTATTGGTTATGTTTGCTCATAAAAATTAATGATGGTCTTTATATTTTTCCCTGCCATCGCTATTTTTTCTAACTAAAATTGGGATTTGGGAACTGGGAAACAATTAAGTTCCGCTCCGTTAGCTCTTCCAAATCCCTAGCCGTCGTCGCTCACTCTTCCAACCCTTGAGGTCGCGGTCGCTGACTCCTTCGTCCAAGAGATCGCTGCCGACTCTTTCGAGTCCGCCGGGAACTGCGTCCCCGTGAAGCCGAAAATGGACTCGAGAAAGATCCTCGGGCGCTGTGGAGGTGGAACCACAATGGCGGCGATTTGAGATTGAAGCCGGTGGTTCTGATCCACAAGGGCGCTGTGGAGATTGGAACCACAATGGCACCTCTTCTCTCCGATTCAGTTTCCACTCACCTTGCGATGCTCGCCAGGCAGCTCAACGACCACGTCAAGAAGGGATTCGTTGTTCAATTGATTGATTACTCGTGCTGCGATGTTCAGAATCGCAGGTGATATTCTCATCCATGGGAGGTTAACTGTTTGATTTTCCTAGCTATTGCTCGTTTCTGGTTAGGTTTTGGTCAGTTTGCAATTGCATTTGCTTTCTACAAGGTCAGGGTTGGTGGCGGGGACTCTGGCGACGGAGGTGTAAGCGGGGGACTCACGAACAGTAGAGTGAAGGGACCTTGGTCGCGGGAGGAAGATGCGTTGCTAGATAAACTGGTGAGTAAGTTCGGGTCGAGGAATTAGAGCTTGATCTCTCGGGGGTTTCCAGGCCGGTTCAGTAAATCTTCTAGGCTTAGATGGTGTAACTAGTTTGGTCCTTGTTTGAAATGCAAGCCTTTCACTGGTAAGCTCTTACGGCTCCTAAATCTCCCCACCGCTCTCACTCTATCTCTGCCTTGCATTTTCCATCTGGAGGGGGTTTAGGTTTTCTCAAGTTTTATGAAGAACAAACTGCAAAGGAAGCCAGCAGCAGCTGGAGAGGAGGACGAAGGGCAAGCTGGGGAAGATGTTAAAGTATGATGATGATGGTGATCTAATCATTTGCAAGGTATTTTGACTCTTTTTTTCACTGTTCCTTCATGTGCTTTATTGATATGGTTTCATTCTGGTTTCTCTGATTTAGCTTGTTTTGCTGCTCTAGGTTACTTGGGTGTTTTGAATCTGTAAAGAGAAGGAATTAGAAGCATTGACAGTTCTTAATTATTATTTGCAATAAATTCAACGTACACACATTCATGTTTCAGCTTTTGGGCCTTGCAGCTGGTAGAACTAGTAGATACTGTAAGTGATTACTCTTTAGTTTTGGGGCTTGTAATGAGTATGTAGAACTAGCGTCATTGATTTTTCAATAAGTTCATGTTTCATAATTAATTGATCTCGGATTGGATTGTTTCAGTTTGGATGCATATGAGAACATACAAAATATCCAGAGATATGATTGCAAACAATTTGTAAGTTCTGTTTCTTCTACTTCAGCTGATTCTTCTCCTCGACTCATGTAAAATTCTAGCAATTTTTGGAATTTCTTATTACCCCTTTGCTATAATGATTATTATTGGCCTTAGTTGAGGATCAATTTGCATCCCTTAGTGTGGGATTCTAAGCTTCCAGTGCTTTTGTTGCTTGTTTTCGAATTCATGATGATTTATGTAATGATATGTACTTATGTAGACTACATTCTGCATCTACTGGTGTTTTAGGGGGAAAAAACATATCCAGTTACCTGCAGATTGCTTTTCTATGGGGCTTGGTCTTGGGGATGACTCAATTAATGCATCGGTACTCCTTGCGATGTCGATGGTGTCATCGAAGATAAAAGTATTTATGCCGATGGGATAGGAAGTAAGGGATTCTTGTCGCTTTGTGTTAGTCTCTTACTTGAGTGTATATTGGGGGAAATGATTGTTAACAGAGGTATGACTCCTTATCATTCCTCGGCATGTTATGTAGTATTTGGCTTGATTAGTTTAGTTGAGGGTTCTTTTTTGGACAATGAGTGGTTGTCTTGCTTATGCCCTGTCTTTCCCATGCATTCTTAATATTATAGCTTTTGAACTCAAAGGAAAATAGACATCTAGATCTCCTTGAAATGTTTCCACCTCAATCTCATATTTCCCATATGGGGTTTCATTATTATGTTGACTCATTCTTAATTGAGGTACTTGATCAGTCTATCCAAGCCAATCTCCCATTCTGTTTACTACCCACCTGTATGTTTAATTCTGATGGTCGTAATAGGAGCATCATTAAACTTGGTTATAGGTAAAGAAGGTTGGTATTGTTTGTGGTTTGATATCAATTGGCCATAGAATTGGTGTTCTTTTGCTAATATTTAATGGTCGTTAAGTAGGAGATGAAATTCTAATTCAGTGATTTTCCATCTTTCACAGCCTGCTGACTGGGATGATATAACATATTGAATGATCATGGATGAGATCCCCATTTGTGTTAAGCTTATGACATACTAAATGTAAGCCTAATTTCTTTATACTGATTGTATTTTTATTAAAGCCGATAGAATTTGCTTACTCTTGTTTGAGTGGGGGGGGGGGGGGGGGGGTCTGCAATATCTGTTTGTGCTTGATGGTTAGTGATTGCTTTTTACCATGAACACATTGGTGATTAATATCTTACTTGTAATAGATGCATATGCAAGTTGAAGATATCACTGAGAGGTTCTAAGCAGTGTATGCTTTTTTCTTGTATGTTTGCAGAAGTATTAAATAATGGAGAATAGTGTGATCGAATCAGCCTATATAAAGTGGCGTACTATCATGAGACAGAAGGATGGCGAAATGAATTTGTAGAGGCTAACTACTAACCCATATATTTTATTGGAGTATTAGATCTGAATGATCTGTCACAGTACTAACTACTAACCCATATATTTTATTCACCCTGAGCTTTCTCATAAAATCGAGCTGGTTATTTGGATGCAACAGGAGAAGCAAAAGGATTTGAAGAATTTTGCAGCAGATGATTTGAACATTGGCATTCTCAGATTCCTAGGATGATGGTGTCAACACAGTAGATTATCATGCTCCTCTCTTTGGAATATTTACTTTTTTCTCATTTTTGTATTTTAGTTTTTTTTGGTAGTTATGAACTACAACTGCGGTTGACGAATGTAAATAGATATTTGGTTGGAAATAATGATGGTGGCTATTATAATTGGTTACTCTAAAATAAATATATTAGTTGGATAAAAATGGTTACCTCTACAAGATATGATTACCACAAAATATTGGTTGGAAATAATTTTTGTGACCAATACAAGTGATTTTTTTTAACAATTGATTGGTTACATTATATACTTTTAAAAACCAAAAATGATTGTGGTGACCATAAAATATTAGTTAGGATAAGAGTTGCACAACCAAAAATTTTGGTTACTTAAAGGTTGATTGCATTAGTTAAAAAGAATATGTTTGTAACCAAATTTTTTGGTTTTAAATAATGGTATTTGTGACTTAACCATTTGGTAGGTAAAAGATATTTTTATTGGTTATTTTTATACTATTTGGGACCAATCAAGTACTTTTCCGTGACCTTTCCGCATGAGTTGTTATAACCAATTACTTCGGTTGCAAAAATATTTGTTTTGTGACCAATTTGGCATTTCGTTACAAATGATCGTGTATTGTGACCAAATCAAAATTTTGGTTAGAAATTGGTTTTCCTAACGGGGCGAATGTGACCAAGGGTTCAACCAAATATTTTTGGTCACAACATAGGTTTTGCGACCAAATATTGACATTTAGCGACCATTCAATTTCGTCATAAAAGGCAATTTCTGTTGTAGTGTCAGTATATTATTATGGTATAAAATATTGGTATTTTAATGTACAATTTAAAGTTGTATCATAACGTTAAATGTATAAGTTCAGGTTGTACTAAAAGGAAATTTGTATCAATCTGTTATGGTACAACTTTAAAACTTGAAGTTGTATCATCATATAAAGGTACAAGTTCAGATTGTACCATAAAAAAATTTGTACAAAAAAGTATATGTACAATCTGAAGTTGTACCATAAAAACAAAAACTTATAACACCAATACTATATATCATTGTAAAATTCCTCTTATATCTAAAATATTTCTTTGTGTCATTCATTAACCTGAAAAGTATTTAAACAACTTTAGGATGATAAAAAAAGAACTATATATTTGGGGACGCCCAAATTCATTTTTGTATGGATCAATTTATGTTTGGATAATTTTCCTTTTGGGCCGACTCATAACCAGATTTTTCTTTGGGTCAAAATTGGACCCATGTTATTGCATAAAAAATGGGGTTATAGGTATAATATGTTCCTCTACTATGACGTTTTATCAAACATGCTCTTATACTATTTTTTACATGAAACATGCCCATGTACTTTGTAAAAATGATCAAACATACCCTTTTGTTTAAATTTTCATCCAAAAACCGTTAACCAAGGTCGAACTGTGGTTTGGGCGGCACAAATGTCTAAAATATCCTTAATAATTTCACTTTAGAATTTCTTTTGTTCTTTTTTATAGCCAAATAATTCAAATAATTTCATTTTGAAGAGACACAGAGAAATAAAACGGGAGAAAAAACTGACATTTTCGCTCCCATTTGCTGATGTCGGGTCGTCTAAATCTCGGTTCAACCATGATTGACGATTTTATCAATGTAAATCTTAACAGAATGGCATGTTTGATAATTTTTTCAAAGTACAGGGGCATGTCTGATGTAAAAAATAGTAGAGGGGCATGTTTGATACAAATGTCATAGTAGAGCCTAGAGGGGCATATTATACCTATAACCCTAAAAAATGACACATGATTCTAATGCAATGCTTTGTCTATTTTTTATAAACAAATAAAAAGCTAAAAACACCAATATTAAATGTGTATTCAGGTTGAAATTACTTAATGAAATGATCGATACTATTTTTTTTTTTTGAACAATTATTTAAATCCATTGACTCATTTGGAATCTGATCCAAATGAGTTTATCTAAATCGGAACTAATTCAAATCCAACCAAAACCTGAAATCAGTACAAATGAAAATAAGTTCATTTGGATTCGACCTAATACTCATATAAATCGTGACAATTGCATCAAATTACCCAATAAATCGAGTAATTTCTAAACAATTCTCTTTAATTTAGTGAACCTATTTATATCTTCACGTCATGTATATATTTTTCTACTTCAAGATGAAAACGAAACGCGACATCAAAGGACACTAAATTGACCCATTTTCAAATATCATGTTGTTTTGTTCAAAGCCTATCTAATCCCCGGTAAAAAATACAAAATTATGAACATATAAAAAACAAACATGGGTCATAGATTTTTCATTCAAATTTCCGACATCATGGATCTATCAATTATAAATCTCAAATTTTTCTTGTTTGCTTGATTGGTAATCCCACGGGATATAAGGATTTTAAATATTTTTTATTTAAATTCTTGAGGCTCACGAATATGTAAATCTCACACCATCTTTTGGGATTTGAGTAGGGGACCAAACCCTTGATGAACAATCAGCTTATTGTCCATCTAACAACTAATTATTCTAACTATCCATATTAATGAAGTTAATTATGTTAATATGTGCGGTTCAAACTGATGGGAAAGGAGTGTCGTTTTTTCCTTTTCTTGTAAGGTCAGGGGTGGTTTTAAAATGTTATGTTTATTTTGATTCCTTTTGATAATTAAGGTGGTTGAAAATATTGTAATGTTTTGTTACATGATAGTCAGTGATTCTTATATTTGCTTAAAAATATCCTGGTTCATATCCTGGTATTGATACACTGCGAATAAGAGGTTGGTCCACTGATAATACTATTGGTTTTGAACCTGAAGATCTCAAGTTCAAATCCTTTAAATAGCACCTAATTAAGAAACAAACTTATATCACCCTTATAATAAAAATAGTCTGTTTGAACCACGCAACCGTTTTAGAAGATGAAACAATCAAAGTTGTCTTGTCAAAAGCAAACAGCAATATTAACACATGATAAATCCATAACTCGAAAATTCATGGACAGATCGTACAAGCAAACAACAAACTTTTAAAATCCAAAATGAACTAAATTCATCACAAATCCATCTCTTAATTTTCCAAAATCTTCATTTTAACCAAAATTTTCATTTTTCAAAATCAAACAACCAAACCAAATTATTCATTCCATCTTAAAATAAATTGGAGTACAGTTAAAAAAAAAATCATAAAGCATTTCATGGAGGATGAGTGAGGGTGCGAAGGTGATTGGTAGGGAATGAATTGATATGACAAGCTAGTAAATGTACACTTTACCAAATGTTACCCTACACATGTTTCCCCATCCACGACAAATGAATTATTCTTATGAACGCTTCCATCATCTGCAGTATTCTGGTAGTATGCTTTTTCGTCACCATTTTCTTCTGGCTTCTATGGTTTTCGCTAGCTTTCTTCCGTTTTATTTTATGTGTTAATACATTTGTATACTTCGAACATTTCACAAGTTAAACATCTAGACTAATTTTTTGATTTATAATATTGTGGTCTCAACTATGCATCAAAGTTACAAAATTGGCCAAATCCGAGATTTGACCGTTATTTTGAATGGTCAAACGTATTGACTAACGGTCAACACACCATGTCACTACCAAGTCAGCGTAGACCACTTAAATTTTTTGGTTTTTCCACCTATTACCATTTATCTTTTTTTATTTTGAACAAAAGGAGAAATTAAAAAAAGGGAAAGATAAATGGTAATAGGTGGAAAAAAAATCAAACTTTTTAAGTGGTTTGGACTGACGTGACAGTGACGTGGCGTGTTGACCCTAAACTTGTCTTCTCATTGATTCTATTTGATCTTATATACATGGTTTGTGCATTACAGGACAAAGAGTTCTAGCCGTAAATTGACAGGGAAGAAGTACGAAAGTGCAAAGCAAGGAGGGAACACAAGCTGAGCAAATGAAAGAGACGTTGTGGCTTCAGGGCACAACGACGACGTCTTGATCTTCTTCAGTCTTGGTTGCCAGCTACGACGACGTCTCGACCATCTTCGAACCCTTTAGTTGAGACGGCAACATTCCAGGTGGCTCTCTCTTTGCTTTGCCTTAAACGACATCGGACCAGCTAATTTCGTTGTTAGCCGTTGAAGTGGCGAATGAAAATTTTGAATTTTTCTCTAACAGTGAATTTTGCTCGATAGAGAAGACCAGGTTGCGAGAAGGAGACGAATTGTCAAAATAGATGCTCACATCTGACATCTTAGGTAGGCTCTCTGGCTGGTAACTGGTAAGTCTCCATTCTTCTGCTAATTTCGTCACTAGATTTTGGTCGTTGTGTGCTGTGTAGTGCCGATTCCAGTCATTTAGGAGTTATTGTGGACTGTCTTTTCAGTTATTCTCTTTAACTGCAGAGCCCCCGCAAGAGATGATGAATTTTGATGGTTTAGATGTGAGCTTCTTAGAAATTTGTTGAGGTTCCACTAGCTTCTGGTGAATATATATATATATATATATATATATATATCGATTAGCTATCCCTGCCAAACATTGAACATTTTTAGAATTTTTGCAGGTGCTCTGGAATGTTTGAGAATGTTTGAAATTTTTTTGAGGGAGGACAATTTAGGTATCATGCATGTCTATTAATTCCTGAATGTTTGAGAATGTATGAAATGAGTTTTAAAAAATTTAGTGTTTGTGATTCATTTTGAGGTTTGAAGTCCAACACCATTTATGAATGTCAGCCTTCTAATCCTGATGTCTACTACTTGTACAAAGTGGTACACTAGGGTGGCATTGTTTCAAAATGCTCAAAATACTATCAAAAGATATCCA